ATGCTGAAGATGCTATGTCTTTGTTAAAGACACATTTTGAAATCAAGCTGTTCTAACTTGAAGTTCAGAGTGCTACTTTTGAGTACTAAGCTGCTGCAGTTCTTGTGCTTGCTTGGATAGCCCCCAGAATCACATTTGTGGAGTGCTGACACCAGCTTTATAGTCCTGAGGCTGCATTATTTGCCTTAGCACCAATACCAAGCAACAGTATGACCCCAATTGGTTCTGTAAAGGTTTCTTTGCTGTAACCCAATAACGTTTCTTGTTATATTCTCATGAAAAATAAGTTGCAGAGAAACTAGGATCTCAAACTGCACACACCACCATTACATGTGCACTGCTGTGACACATTGCGTCAAAGATCTGTGCCAGCTAGCAGGAGCAAGAGACCTGAGATATTATTAGTAGAGCCAAGCAGAGAGACAGCATGGGTGAAGAGAGCTCAAGTTAGCTGGAGTTGCATGTGAAGCATAGTTGCTGCTTGTTGTTCTCTTTTAGAAACAACACAGTTCAACAATTCATGTCAATGATTTTTTTTTTTTTTTTTTACCCGTTGTTTATATGCTGGATACATGAACGATTTGGGTAGTTTCCTGGATGTTTATTGTGAATTTAATCATCAACCTTCCCTTAAATACCTAATACACTTCTATGTGCGGTGATAGTCTCTAAAAATCAGGATTAAAAAAAATCACAAAACAGAGTTTCCCTAAACAAGCGGTGCACGAGTTTGGTTCGCATTGCCGGTAGTAAGTTGGACCCCTTCAGGGTGGGAGTTGGACTCTGCCAGGGCTGCCCGTTGTCACTGATTCTGTTCATAACTTTTATGGACATAATTTCTCAGTGCAACCATGGGGGGGGGGGGAGGGTTTCCGGTTCGGTGGTCTCAGGATTCCATCTCTGCTCTTTGCAGATGATGTGGTCTTGTTGGCATCATCGTGATCTTCAGCTCTCACTGGAGCGGTTTGCAGCCGAGTGTGAAACAGCTGTAATGAGAATCAGCACCTTCAAATCTGAAAACATGGTCCTCAACTGGAAAAGGGTGGATTGCTCTCTTCAGGTCGAGGGTGAGGTTCTGCCTCAAGTGGAGGAGTTCAAGTATCTCGGGTTTTTTTTTCATGATTGAGGGAAGAATGGCTCGTGAGATTGACAGATTGATTGGTGCAGCGTCTGCAGTATTGTGGACTCTGTACCAGTCTGTTGTGGTGAAGAGAGAGCTGAGCTGTAAGGCAAAGCTCTCTGTTTACCAGTCGGTTTACGTTCCTACCCTCACCTATGGTCATGAGCTCTGGGTAGTGACCGCAAGAATGAGATCCCAGATACAGGCGGTTGAAATTAGGTTCCTCTGCAGGGTAGCTGGACTCTCCCTTAGAGATAGGGTGAGATGTTCAGTTATCCGGGAGAGACTCAAGAGTAGAACCACTACTCCTCCACATCGAGAGGAGCCAGTTGAGGTGGTGTGGGCATCTGGTAAAGATGCTCTCTGGGCACCTACCTAGGGAGGTGCTTTAAACATGTCTGACTGGAAAGAGACCCTAGGGAAGATCCAGGACACGCTGGAAAGGCTGTATCTCGGTTGGTCTGGGAACGCCTTGTAATCCTCCCAGAAGAGTTGGAAGAGGAGGCTGTGGAAAGAGATGCCTGTGCCTCCCTGCTCAAGCTGCTGCCCCATGACCTGACTTCGGAATAAGCGGAAGATAATGTATGGATGGAAAGCAGTGTTTGCTGTAATAAAGGACTCTGCAAATAAATTAAACAAAAATAAGCAACTGGAACTTGGTATAAAAAAAGTCTCTCAAAGTTTGTTGGGTTGCAGTATAGTGCCTTTTTGCTTTTTCTCATATTAGACAGTTGTAGACGTTTCAGATTTTCAGTAACATGACTCCATTCAGAGCTTGTAAACATGTTATCAGAGTCCTTCAAGTTATTTACAATTTTAAACCAGAACTTGATGAATTTGTGACCTATCCAGGGTGTACCCCACCTCTCGACAAATGGAGATAGACGCCACCTGCAACTGTACAAAAAGAAGGGGTTGCTGCCATTTTGTTAGCCTTTTTTGGTTCTTTAAAGTTACATGTTTTGTTTGTGTCTCCGAGTTTAGTTTGATCTAGTCTGGACATATTTTGACTTAGAGCCTGTGTTTTGCCCTTTTTCATATTCTTTATTCTTACTAGTTTATGCTGGTGAAGTCTCTTACTAGTTTACTTTCTGTTTTATTCTTTTATTTTTATTTAATTTTATTCTTTTTGGTTTAGTCCAGGGGATTTCAAACCTGGTGTCATGACTCACCTGACTTTTGCTGATTGCCATTTAGCTGTTTTCGATTCACCAATGATTTCCATCCTCAATATATATCCTGTACAGTTTCTTTTTGTGGTCTCTTGTCAGGTTGAGCATGCACTGGCTGCACTATTACTATTAAAAATTAAATAACTGCATTGTTTCTTGAAAACCAGTCTTGTTCGTAAACATTTTGTTAACATTTTATTTGTTTTACAGAATGAAAATTGAAAATGTTGATGGCTACCATTTGTAGCAGTTAACCTAACAGTTATATAATTATGGGAAGTGAGCAGAATTAAAAAGAAATTAAAAAAGCGAAGGATTTTTTTTGCCTTTAACCAACCATTAATATTGTCTTTTGCCTGGGGAATATACATGATTGCAGAAAGTAATGCATTTTGGTGGCACTTAAGTAGGGGATTAAGGCAATAAATATTACATGAACGAGTTCTCCCCTAAGTTAATACAATTTTTGAATATTTGCCTGACTTAGAGGAACAGACCGATTGGGGAGGGATTTGAACTTTATATCTTTCAGTAACTTTGGGTCATATGAGGTTCTGCTGCTCTGTTGGTTTAAAAATCAAAGACATATTGCAGAAGCCACCTAAAAATAGTCTTATCTTAGTATAATCAGTGCTGCGCAAAAGGTGGCAGGGATATTTTATTTTTGTATTGATTTATAATTCAGTCAGTTGTTTGTGTTTGTCAAAGTTTTCTGTTCGAAGAGTCAGTTTCTGTAATAAAGTAAGTGGGAGTGTTTCACAGCTTCAGGACACGCTAGATGTACCGGGATTTTTATTTTCCCTGTCATTTTTGTGGTAACTTGTGGGGTATGTCGAAGGCAAGCTGAAATGCACCTGAAGGCATGCAGGAGGGGACAGAAAATTCTAAGCAGAATGGGCTGTAGAGAGCACTCAAAATATTTAGTGAATTGAAAACCTTGAGGTGGAAAACATTATGTTGCAACCTGCAGCAAGACTTACATATTTTGATGAAAAAAAAAATACAGCATGGATCATCTCTGCCCCTCTTTTGTGCATGTCCGTTTATATTACACAACATGCACACTTGGAGCTGGCATTTAAACAAAAGACTGACTTCTCAGCATGTTTGTGCACTCTAACTACAATTAGGATTTGATAAATTATCTCTCTTTTTTAGTTTATTATATATAAAAAAGAGACTATGTTAAATCAAGCAACACAGCCTACATACACTAGTAGATACTTTGTTTTCTGGTATATTTTTCTTTTTAAAGCCTAAAATTATTTATCTGTTGTCCCTCTTCTTCCTCACAAACATATCCAGCTGTATTGTCTTTCCTAAAGTCCATCCATCCATCCATTTTCTTTACCCGTTTATTCCATTTTGGGTCACGGGGGTCGCTGGTGCCCATGTCCAGCAATCACTGTGCGAGGGGCGGGGTACACCCTGGACGGGTCGCAAGTCCCTTTCCTAAAGTCAACTGGTCTATTTTGTTCTGTCTTCTTTTTCATGGCCTTTTAGCATGTGTAAAAAAACAGCCTTAAAGGAATGAAAAAAAGTAAGTTATTTAATAAATAATTAAAAAATAAAAAAAAAAATATATATATATATATATATATCTATATATATATATATATATATATATATATATATATATATATATATATACACACATCAGGAAACTCTTGATAAAGCAGATTTCATGAATATGGCATTTTATTTTTATTGCAGCAACACAACATTATTCATCACAATCCTTATTACCAACTTATAAATTGCCTTTGCTTGCATTTGAGTTAAATTTGAGTAGTAGTGAGAAAAGTGCTGCTTGTTCCCCTTTATTTAGTTTAACATAAAACAATAAAATAAATTAAAAAAAAGCACAAAAAAAATAAAATAAATCCCTCACCTCATTTTACTTTTTTCCCCCTCGGGCAAATGCATCCTTTCTTTAATTCAGGGTCTCTTCCGACTCACTGAGTCAATACAAACGGCTTTAATACTCAAACCATTATTATTTCAAATCATCGTCAAAAAGGCGGAATAGATAATTGACTTATGCCCCGTTAATGCTGAGAAAATTGCTTCATGCATTTTGCGTCATTGACAGTTAGGGGCCTGAAAACAAGTAAAGCTAATGGCATAATCTGACTGTGACCACTGTGTGTCCCTTCCTTCTCCCCTCCTCCTGGCTTTCCTCATGTCTTAGACAAACAGGCTCATCTACACTGGATCATTTGCTGTCTCCTGATATGCCACGGCTTATAGGCAATTATCTCTCTCGATCCATTATCGATTACAGTGTTATCTTACTTGCATTGCTTAATCTTGTGGCACAGTAAAATAGTAGCTCACTTCGGGCCTGGATACAAACAGCTTAGAGATGAGAACATGGTTAGGATGGATGGGTGTTCATTTATGTGTAAATGTGTGCAGTTTAAAGTCAAACTGGTACAGACTGTATTCAGTATCAAGGAAAAGACATGGATGATTTAGTTTTGTACTGTTCTCTGAAGAAAATGCTCTTAATAGACAAAATTTGCAGTTACATTGTAATGTGATATTAGTCTGACAGATTCCCTCATGAGAATAATGCACTGCTGTTTGTTTGTGCTTTCTGTTTTAAATCAGCGTGGCTTACAGTGAACCAGCAGGAAGAAAAAAAAAAGCAACAGAGATTATACAAGAGGTTTATTTTTCCGATTGTTTTCTTCTCTTTTTTCCAGTTGGGTTAATAATTTTGGACATGAGGGTCTCGGCCTTCTTCTGGATTCACTGGAGAAGCTGCTGGACAAGAAACAGTGAGTTAAAGCCTAAAAGTTTCTTTATTTCTTTTTATTTCCTATAAGCAGTTTGTGTTCATGTAATCTAAATATTGTGGATTGTTTTGTTTTTTTTCCAGGCAAGAATATATTGATAAACGGAACCAGCATAAACTGATTCAGTGCTTGAAGGCTTTCATGAACAATAAGGTTAGTATGAGTCAATAATGAATAAGATATAGAAATAAATATAATCTCCAACCTTATTTATTCGTAGCAAATCTACATGAAGCACAGCTAGCCTACCTCAAGATGAAAATATCAATATTTAAACTGTAAAAAATGAGTTGAAATGCAAATAATTATTCTCAAAATAGAACAAATTAAGTGCATTTAAGTTATAACAATTATATGTAATACTTTGGTTTCAAACCTCCTTTTAATTTGTTTTTGACAATCAGAGGCTAATGGTAGATTAAAGCAAAGCTAATTTTATAATTTGAAAACTTTGAACTTTTTAATTATCCTATTTTGGAAAGGTTTGGTTCATTTTTCAAAAGTGACACACATTTCAAGGTTAGATGAACTATTGATATATCTTTTTGTGGAGTTAATCCCCACATGTGGTCATCTCAGCCCACTCCTTCAGTTGTGGGGAGACTGAAAGGTGCAGGAGACTATAAGTAAATGTCCCTGTAGTGCTGTCCTGAATTGAATCAATTCATCATTTTGCCTTTTTCTCCCATGGCCTCATTGTCCCTCTTTAACACAAGATTAGGTCTAACTATAACCATCCACATAAGACTTTTTTTTTTTTTTTGTAAAATTCACAATTTACTTGAAGTTAAGTTCTCTATGAATGCAAACGCTCATTAGTTTTTACCCAACGGACCTCTTCTTCATTCTGCCTCGTTTCTGCCATGTGTTTCACAGTATGGGCTGCAAAGGATCTTGGGAGACGAGCGGAGCTTGTTGCTGTTGGCAAGAGCAATTGACCCCAGGCAGACCAACATGATGACGGAGATTGTCAAAATTCTTTCAGCTATCTGCATTATTGGAGAAGAAAACATGTAAGTTGAAAGTATTTAACCTGATTGTTTCCACAATCATACACATCCCAGAGACGTGCACAGATAGCCTTTGAAAAGCCAGCTTATAGGTCAGTACTGTTTTAATTGTTTTAATCTGGGAAAATTGTGTGTGTGTACTAGTACTTTGACAAAGCTTTCACAGTTGTATTGATTGTCCCTGGGTTCAGTTCATTGGGTAAGTGTACAAGGCTCTTCTTTACATAAACTTCTGTCCTCATGAAAACCAAGACCACCCAACCAAAGTGCAAGTTGAGTACAGACCAAACCAGCATGCACCCAGTATGGCACAGTGTGACATGACAAGTCAAGAGTCTGTCAGTGTTTTAGTCAGGGAAAAATAATAATAATAATAAATATATATATATTATATATATATATATATATATATATATATATATATATATATATATAT